ACTAATTATCCACCCAGGCCTAAAATTAATTAGAAATTAATGTTTTGTTGAACCTACAATGGAAACACTGTGAGCCAAATAGCCTGAAACAGTGCTGCATATCTTATTGAATCAAGATGTAACTGTTGGCACAATAAGTCATGATAAGGGTCTAGGCCCGAAACATCAGCCTTCCTGCTCCTATGATGCTGCTTGGCCTGCTGTGTTCATCCAGCTCTACACCGTGTTATCTTAAATAATTGAACACTTTTTAGGCAGTTAATTTGGATTCAGAGTTGAACATTCAAGCTAACAGCCATTAATGATATTACATTCTAAATATCACTGGAAGGCTCATCGGTATCCAAAAACACATTCCATAGAATCGGCAGCAGCTCCTAAAGGCCTATAATGCTTACAAAGCATGCAATGCTTAACCATCTGTGTCACTGCATGAGGGTGATATGGAGAAAGAGCCTTACTAAACTGCTTTTCTAACCAGCAAAGCTTATCTTGTTTTGTCAACTGGAAGGGTGATTGAATTTCAAGGATTCACATTGTCTATAATATCTCTCCTGCAGTCTGAGGTGACCAGTCAACCAGCTTAGTTCATTTGTGAAAATTTCCACAGTGGCACAATGCCACACTGGAGAGCTGTGTGACAACGTTTATATAATAAACAGGGTCATCCCATAGGTCCAAGATCCTGTTGTAGTATTGAATAGATCAGCTAAAAGTCAAATATCATTCATGCACAGATTCTCCTTTTACAGAGGAAGATTATTTGGCAGTTTTATCAAGGAGATAGCATGATGGGTCAGCCTTTTTACGGCCACCTTCTGCTGACTAAAGGAAAGTGATGGTAATTCTGGAGATGCTGGTCAGTTGAACCATTCCTTCCTTCTCGAGCAAGGAGAGCAACATTGATGGAGTGGGCTCGGAATATAATTGCCTTTATTTTGAGTAAACAGTAAGGACAGCTCATCTCCCAGGCGATTTGGCACCATACGTGCAGACTGCATAGAATTTTGTAAGTTGGAGATTCAGCCACTTTTTCCTTTTCAGGTTCACATAATGTCACTCTATCACCTAGGAGTTCTTGGCCAAAGTGAGTTCTATCCATGACTGCAGCATCACTTCTCAAATTTACACCCAATAACAGGTGTTTGTTGTTTTCAGAAATGATCGCCTCATTTACTTTAATTACAGCAGTCAAGAGCTACAGAATATTTCAGTCATGCTAAGATGTTATGTTAATGAAAATCCTCATTTTTAGTTCCAGTGAAGTGCCTCCCCCCTCTACAGGCTTGGAGGTAAAATCTGCAAGATTCAGTCATGACCAGCTTCAATTCAGGAGACCATAGTGGAGGGAATCAAGACCAGATAGATCCCCCAGATCTGTGCTGAAATACTGCATGAGCATTGGCAGGATACCTTCCTGAAACAGAACAGATGGAATAGTACAGGAAGAGAAAGTGGTCATATAATACAATAATTGCCAATGGAGGAACCCAACAAAGTTGTACGCTGAACTAAGTAGCTCAATTAGTATTCCTGCCTATGCTTATGCAGCAATAATAGAATCTCTTTCTAACATCTCATTGGAAGATAGTACCTATGAAAATTCACAATCACAAAGCAAACATTTGAGTAAAACACAATAAACATGAAAAGAAAAACACCAAAAGTAGAACAAAATTTATTATTCAATTTTACTATATTGTGCAATTATAATTTTTCTGGGCAGAAACCATCAAAAAGTACACAGGCTAACTGGTTATCTCCTACTGCGAGGCCAGACCTTTCCTGAAAGATCTCTGACAATGACACATTGAGAACAGTGGTGAATTTCCCTGAGTTTGATGTTCTAAGAATGTGCAAAAGGGGCATTATATACATTAGATTACCTTTGAAATGCATTCAGTGTTGTTAGATAGCCAAAACTGACAGCCAATTTGTGGGCAACAAGGTCCTACAAACAGCAAATGAGATGAATGAACAGATAATCTATTTTTGGGTGTGCCAGTTAAGGAAGGTATGAGTTGACCCCAATACTGGCAGAACTGCTTTCCTCTCCTTCGAGTAATCCCACGGGATCTTTCATATTCACCTCATTTGGCAGATTGGATCTTAGGTCAATATCTCATTTGAAACAAACAATCTTGGACAATACACCATTTCCTCATTACCATAACGAAGTGTCAGCCTAGATTCTGCATTCACGTCTCTAATGTGGTTTCTAGCTGTCTGACCAGGAGATGAGGGCAATACCAACTGAATTAAATTGGCATCTTGGTACTGCCAAGCAAATTGTTGACTATCTATTCTGAAGTCTTCATGGCTCAAGCAGCATACATAGTCATAAAATTTACAGTCAATTTGTGTCTCTGCATGCAACACTTTCCATCATATCAAAATGTTTCCTCTTTCTGTCTGAACAAATACCTGCTTTATATCCTTTGCACCCCAAGCCTTCCAACTCCTCCTTCTCCTGCTCTAACCATGATTATTATCGGCCTACATGTCTATGCTGTTGAGTAGAAAACTTTTCTTTGCCTTAATTTCTTTCACAGCTGGGCTGACAACTAGCAATTTTCTCCAACCACAAGCTCAATCAGCTCCGGCATTGAAAAAGGAGTAAAATAATTATTCTTTTGATTTTGCTACAACTGCAGAATGCTATTTCTTATTAGCGATCTGAACAACTTGTTCCCCATCGCTAACCTTTTTCAATCCACTCTTAGAAGGCCAAGGAACCCCACTGCATCGCTAAACTGAAGCAAACATCTTATTTTCTCTTTCTCTTGTTAGTTATCACACACTTCAACCTTTACTCCAAAATAATGATGCACAAAATATTGCACAAAGTTCCTGTGTTTTAACAGTGAGGCAACATGACTGTCTTGCCATAATGATTGCCTGTTTCCCAATATTCTAAAAATCCTCAAGTTTTAAAACATAAACAAATGTTCTGCAAAGCAGATCACATTCCGACACAATTAGTATAAGGAAGTTATGGATGATTAAATGCACATTTTTAATGGATGTTTATGACAGTGATAATTCTCAAGGAACATATAATGCCAGAGTATGAGTTCCACATCAAAATTTAAGGTCAATCACAATTGTACAAATCTCTTTGATTGTGAGAGCAATGACAGAGGAATGGAAATATTGCTTGCTTGTTCACAAAAGTAGCGAGAGAGAAGATTGCTAAGTCAGGTCAATCAGTCTAATGGTAGGGAAACAGCCCAAGGCAATTGACAAGGATAAAATTAATTTTTATTTAGGCAAGTGTAAGTTCGCAAGGAACAGCCAATCTGAACTTTTTAAAAGAAAATTGCATGATCTAACTTTATTGAGTTCTTTAAATGAAGTAATTGAGGGTAGATGAAGTCTGACGTATTTCAAATAGAAATATGTGGCATTTGAGAGGTAAAGCTAACCTGGATATGCAATTGGCTGAAGAATAAGAGGCAGAGACTAGTGACAAATGGATATTTTCTCTCTGGTGAAGGCTATAAAGTGGGTCCCACTGCTGTTCTCATTATCTATAAGATGTAGGGAGAATAATTTTGAAGTTTCCAGAAGATACCGAACTTAACAACATAGCAAATGCCGAGTAGCAGACATCCGAAAGGATAGAGACAGACTGATGAAATTGGCAGGCATAAATTAATACTGAGAAGAGTGAAGTGATGCACTTTGGGAGAAAAACCATGAAGATTTAATCTGAATGGTAGCATCGAGAAAGCTCAGGATGCGTATTCACAAACCTTTGAAGATGGCAAGACAAGTTGATAAATGGGTTAGTTAGAGAGTATGAGATACTTAGCCTTGTAAACAGGGACATTAAATAGAAAACAAAGAAAGTAGACTAAACATTTACAAAGCACTGGTCGGACCTCAGCTAGAATATCACATACAATTCTCAGCATTACATTTTAAGTAGGATGCTAAGACCTTTGAGAGGATGGAAAAGAGGTTTACCATGAGGCAACAAACACAAATTTTCCTCTCCTGCTAAACTGCATCCCTTGAAGAACAGCATCCTCACTATATTTTGTGCTCGTCAGACAACAGGAAAAAACTGTGGAGGCAAATGTTTCCTGTCATCTAAGCGCAGGGCCTATAATGTAAAATGCAGCTTACTTCTCCACCAACATCACCTCCACACACTCATCTCTAATGCTGTACACGTTAATGTTTCTGAGAAAGTTAATGTTGGAGCTGCATTAAACTCCACACACTTTGATGATGTCACACAGTCATTGGGTGGTAAATGAGCAGTCTAGCATAATGCCCTAGGGCTCTCGTAGAAAAGTGGTAATGTTGCTATCTCTGAGCCCGGAGGCCTGGGTTCAAGTTCCACCTGCTCTAGGAGTGTGTAATGGCATCTCTAGACAGGTGGATTAGAAAATATCTTGCACAATATCCTGGTGTGTCATTTCTGGCTCCTGGTAGTCTTTATAATTATGCCTGACTAGTCAGTGTTACTTATACCTATTGCTATTATGCAATAAACTACATCTGTTGTGCAAGACAAGTGTGTCTTCCCACTGAGACTCAATGTGCTTCATCCCCCACCATTGCTAATTGGAAAAGCCCTTCAACTCAATATAGCAAAGAGGATTGGTGGCAGCACTCCACCCCAATCATAAGCAATGGATGACACACATACCACATGCACAGTTGTACCTTCTCCAGTAAAAATCCTTTCTACAGCTAGCTCAGACTTCATAACTGCTGCTGTGATACAAAATCATTTTATACTGATGCTCCAATATGAATATTTTCTGAAACATGATGCACTTAAACTATTGTAAATGGTGTGTAGCCAACGCATCAAAAGGCTTAAAACTGATATTAAGAGAAAGAAAGGTACATGAAATGCCAGAACTCTGAAATAAAACAATAGAAATGAGCAGTAGATCAGTCAGTGTTTGCAAGCAAACTCATCCGCAAAGTGTGAATACTGGTGACAGACCACGTTCCAAAATGTTCACCTTTCATTTGCTGTAGTTCTGCTATCTTCCCTGGTAATTGCTTCCTCTCATCATATGGAAAAATATCTTGATTGCAGTACACCAGACTGTCTGTTCAATTCTGATCTCAGGGCTCTGCAAAGGGGAATGCCAATTACAAGCGTTCACCTTCATCCTAAAGTAAATCCCTCTCTCAGTTTCAGATTCCAAGGAAAATTTTTTGCAACATACGATCTGTGGGGAGTTGAGTAATATTTGGCTTCCTGTTGATGAACTATGCTGATTACTGAGGTGTGTAATCTGAGTTAGGAACTTTTCCCAACTTGCAGTATTCGGTATACAGTCTCTTGAAAAGCATAATTTTTGCTTTGAGAATGGGGTGGGTTAACAGCATTAGGAGAGTCAAAGAGAGGAAGTGACCAGTAGGGCTGTCATGAGGGAGCATTGGGAGTGTTCCAAAATGGCACCTATTGGTTCACTCCATCTCACGTCAAACCTGCATGAGAACAAACTTCTGATGCTAAAAGCGAACACCGACTCTAGTAACAGTGTGATCCTGAAGCAGAATGACTTAAAATGTGGCAAATTAAAACAGAGAATCACTGTGCTTGAAGTGAAAATTTCTATGGTCCACTAGAGAGCTGGGTCTCAAACTGTTGAGAAACCGGGGCCTTTGTGGTGACCTCAACTGGTATGGGAATTGAACCCACACTTTTGACATCAATTTGTATTACAAAGCACTCCTCCAACCAAATATCTCACTGTCTCTCCAACTAGGACATTTACTCTACAACAACAATTTGTGCTTGCCACTTCACAGAGCCATATAAGTTTTGCAGTGCAGAAGGATGCCATTCAGCCCCATGTGCTTGCACTCAGTCTTCAAATGAGCATCATTACATTGTGCCAACTTTGTTTAATTGCTATTCCCTTACACATTATTTTTTTCAAATAATCATCCGCTGCTTTCTTGAATGCCTCAACTGAATCTGCCTCCAGCACATTTCCAAGTACTGCATTCCTTAAATACTTGCTGAAATGTTTTTCTTACCTTCGCCATTGTTTCATTTGCAGATTGCTTTAAATCTATGTCCTCTTGTTCTTGATCCTTTTACAAGAGGGAAGAGTTTGTAATGGTCTACTATATTCAGCCCAATTATACCTTGAAAACTGCTATTAGATCTCCTCTTAACTTTCTTCTCTAAGAAGAACAGTCCCAACTTCTTCGATTTACTGTCATAACTGAAGTTTCTGATCCCTGGAAGCATTCTTACAAATTCCTTCTGCACTCTCTCCAATCTTTCCTATAATGTGGTGCTCAGAACTGTACACAACACTCCAATTGTCGTCTAACAAATGTCTAACACTGGTTTAACATCACCTCCTTATTCTTGTACTCTATTAATAAAGCGAAGAATACTGTATATTTTATTAACTGCTCTCTCCACCTATTCTGCTACCTTCAATGATTGGTGCATATATACACCCAGGTCCCTCTGCTCCCACATCCCCTGCAGATCCCTTATTTTAAATGTCTTTCAATTTTTGTCCTACCAAACTGCATCACCTCTCACTTCTCTGCATTGAACCTCAATTACCACCTATCTGCCCACTCCACCAGCTTACCAATGGCCTTTTGGAGTTTTACATTTCCCTCCACAAAGTTTACAATTTTTCCAAGTTTACTGTCATCTGCAAACTTTGAAACTGCCCTAGCACCAAGATCCAGATAATCAATATATATGAGGAAAAGTATAGACCTCAACATTGACCATAGAGGAATTCTACAACAAACCTTCCTCCAGCCTGAAAAAGATCCATGGGCCATTAATATTGTTTCTTATTACTCAGCCAATTTTGTATCCACGTTGTTACTGTCCGTTTTATTCTATGACCTAGAACTTTACACATAACTCTGTTATGTGGCGTTGTATCAAACATCTTCTGAAAGTTCATATACACCTCATCAACAACATTATCCTGTTCAGTCTGTTTACCTCGCTATAAACTCTGACAAGTTAAACACAAGCAATTCTACAACCATCAGATCTAAGCTCTGCAGTCCTGCCACATCCAGTTGTGAATGATGGTGGGCAATTAAACAACTCACTGCAGGAAGAGGTTCCACAAATATCCCCATTCTCAGCAATGGGGGTGCTCAGCACATCAGTGCAAAAGAGAAGGCTGAAGCATTCACAACATCTTTAGCAAGAAGTGTCAAGTGGACGATCCATCTCAGTCTCCTCAGTCTTCAGACAATTTAAGTCTATCCACATGATATCAAGAAACAGTCCATCATCCCAATACTGGTTCTTTGATTATTCCCATAGCCCTGCTCTCCCCATATATCCAACTTTTCTCCATTATTTTCCCTCTTTAAATATATGTACAATTCCGTTTTGGAAGTTACAATATTTGTTTACACAATGCATTAATTCTAGATCATAACAACTTGTTGTACAAATTTGTTTTTGACTTCAGCTTCCTTCGTTAATACCTTATCACTATCTTTTGACTATTCACCCTCCTGGCAATTAAAATTGTTCATCCCTATCTAATCGATCAAAACCATCATAATTAGGATTGAAATTTCTTTCAGTTCTTTTCTGTTAGTGCGTGTTAGAGAAGACAATGGTTGCACAAACAGACGCGAGCGTTCTTGCCATCTCCCCAATTCCTTTGGGAAAATGATAATGAATTAAAACGAAATCAGCTATCAAAAATAATTAGATTTAAAATACTTGCATTTACAAACTAATTAGTAACATTTTGATGGCTACTGTAAAATCCGAAAAATTTCAGATGTCTGTGAGGAAAAAGGAAATGTGAATATATTTCTGCCCTAAATGCAAATAAAAAGGAACCAGCCAGCAGGAAGAGTTACTGTAGGAGTTTCTTTCTAATCATTAAATACTCAATACTAACTTCCTTTCCATTTAACATCACAGTTTTCAGTACACGATGCAGAGGTCAAGGTTCTCAGCAATTAATCTGGCAGTTACATTTATCTCAAATGCGAAATGTAAAGTGTGTTCCAGTAATTAAGTGATAATTTATGTTTGGCCAAGGTTGAACAAGGTGACAACTCTCCTTGCTGTTAAAGTGCTGTGACAAAATTTTGACTCAGAGTGGTTTATTGCCCTACATCGGAAGGTTATGAATCCTCCTACCCCCTCAGTTTTAATCAATAAATTAATGCTCCAGCAATACATGCATAATGTCAGGCCATTTCCGAGTTGCCTTATGTTGAACTTTAAATAGCACGCTGAGCATGGAAGCAGAATTCATGCAAAATTACTGCAAATTAAAACTGCGGACAAAATAATAATAGAACTTCTGCAAGAAAATCGACAAAGCCTCATTCAGGTTTTTTTAATGTGAAGTAGCAAGGTGATATATTTTACATATCTACGTAAAAACTTTGAAATTCTATGGGAGCTGCTCTGTTCTCCCAACCTCCGTTTCAAAGGGTCTGGCAACAGGAGGGATCATCAGCAGAAAGCACAAATAAATGTGTATACAAAATAGGGAAGAGTTTTGACTAGTCTCTGTTCTCAGCCCTATGTTAGCCCCTGCAAAATTTTGAGACAAGAATGTCAAGGAAAACCCATGCTCACAGTCTCAATCAGTATTTGTTCTTCCCCCATCCATTGCCCACAAAGGTTATTAGTAAATTATTATTATTTATGGAGAGACTGTGGTGTAGTGGACTAATAACCCAGAGTTCCAAACTAATGGGTTTGAATCCCACAATGACAGATGGTAACATTTGAATTCAATTAATAAAACCACAGCTAAAACTAGTCTTACGATGACCATGACATTGCAGTTGTAAAATCCCATCTTGTTCACTCATGCCCTTTAAGAAAAGAAATCTGCTGTTCTTACCTGGTTTGGCCCCCATGTGACTCCAGACCTATAGCAACGTGGTTGGCTCTTAACTGCCCTCTGAAATGGTCTAACAAGCCACCGTAGGTGCAGAACTAGGCCATTCATTCCATCACGCCTGCTTCATAATTTAACGCAAACGTGACTAATCAAAGACTTCACTGCCTTTTATCTATATTGTCCCCAAAACCATTTAGTGAGTACCCGACACTGATTTTGGATCCCGTGAAGTATCATGACATCAGGTCAAGAATGGGCAAAGGGTGCTCCTGCTGATTACCATGTACACCATTCCCTCAGCTGAGGAATCAGTGTTGTCCTATACTGAACACCATCTGTAGGAAGAACTGAGGGTGGCAGGACACAGAATGTACTCTGTAAGGGGACTTCAATGTTCATCACCAAGAGTGCTTTGGTAGCACCACTATTGGCTAAGCTTACTGAATCCTAAAGGATATTGCTGCTAGATTGGTTCCACAGATGGTGAGGGATCCAACAAAAGGGAAAATTCAATTTGACCTCACCTTCACTAATCTATCCTTCAGAGGTGCCTGACAACATTGGTAAGAGTGACTAATGCACAGCCCTTGTGGAGACATCTCCCATCTTCACACTGAGGGTACTCTCCAGTGTGCTGTGTTGCACCACTACCATGCTCAATGGGATTGATTTTGAAACGGATCAGCACCTGTGAAGTGCTGTGAACAATCAGTAGCAGAATAGCACTCGACCACAACCTGTTATCACATGGCCCAACGTCATCAGATCAGATCCAAGCACTGCAGATCCACCACATCCAATGGTGAATGGTGGTAAATAGTTATCCAACCTAAAGGAGGTGGATATCCCCATATTTGATGATGGTAGAACCCAGAAAATCAGTGCAAAAATTAGGTTAGTGTATTTATGTACATCTTCAATCAGAGAGCAGAGTGGATGATTGGTCGGGCCTCTTGCCCTTCGGAAGGGAGGAGCTTTCCTTTGGGAGAGGTGAGCTACATTTTGGGATTATAAAGTAGTCACATAACACGAGTAGAAAAAGTATATAATGTACAGGAGGCAATGGGTTTGATGGCATACTTTAACATGGAAGGTAGAAAGGAAAGGTAAGTGCACCAGCATACATTAATTTGGAGGATATGAAGGGGCATGTGGGGGTATATGGCCTTGTTTGGCATTGAATGCGTGTGTGCAATTATTGGGTTGGGTGGAAGGCATGAGGTGGCATCAGTTGAAATGGATGGTAT